AAATATATATTTTCATATAAGAAAATACAGATATAAAGAAAGTATTTTATTAATTAAAAAGTACATTTTATGTTATTTAAAATATTTTTAGTGGATGTTACTATTTTGTTAATTTTCCCTTTTAATGAAATCATATTATATAAACATATATTTTCGTTTTTAATTTTTAATTTTAAATTTTATAGATGTTTTTTCTATTATAAATTTTAGTTGGAAATTTTTAAAAAGGAACTAAATACAAAATTAATAATACTATTTTACTATTTTGATAGTATATTACTATTTTGTGAACTTTCCTTTTTAATGAAATCATATTATATAAGCATATATTTTCGTTTTTAAATTTAAGAATTTTTCCTTTTTATTGTAAAAGTAATTTGGAATGTTTTAAAAAGGAAACTAAACATAAAATTAATAATATTATTTAAATATACTATTTAAATATATTCATCAAGGGTATCATAGTAATCAACCAGTGTAAGAGTCAACGTGAGCGCGCTACATAGGAAACTGACTTCTCAAATAGTATTATAGAGATTTATCATTGAAATAAAAATCTAACCATCCCATTCCCATGGATTAACGTTCTTAAAAGGTATTTAAACTTTGAAGATTTGTTGTGTCCATAGATTAATAAGAGCATTATCAATCGGGGTACTTACCCGGTTGCTTAACACTTTAAAAAAAAAGGAAAAAGGGGAAGCATCGGTGCTTAAACAAGCACCATAAGCACCGATGCTTAGAGACATGTGGCCATAAGCATCGATGTTTAGAGACACGTGACGCGTTGTCATTCAACAGTTTTTTTTCAAACATTTTTTTTTCTGAAATATTGTTCATGATCAAATTGACATCCAAATATGAAAATAACCTAACTAGAACCAATTTTTTTTCTTTTGAAAATGACAAAAATAACATCCAAAGATGGAAAAGAAAAAAAAATATTTTGTTTTTTTTTGTTTGAAAACACTGTTTTTATGACCTAAATGACACCCAAATATAAAAATAACCTAACTAACACCATTTTTTTAAATGACCAAAATGACACCCAAATATAGAAAAGAAACAAAATTTGTTTTGTTTTTGTTCATTTTTTTTTCTTTTTAAAACACTGTTTTTATGATCAAAATGATACCCAAATATGAAAATGATCTAACTAACACCAATTTTTCCTTTGAAAGTGATCAAAATAACACTTAATTAGCACCATGTTTTAATGTACTTTTTTAATATGTCTTACATAATAAATAAAATTTATGCTAAATAAAACAATATTTAATATTTTTTTAAGAACTCCAAAATAAACAACTTGTATTGGAGATAAATAAATGTTCGGGTACTTAGAGTTGATGCTTAAACCACTTTAACAACTAAAAATTATTAAAGAAATAATAAGCACTCTAAATTAGGAGTTTGGATTGATGTGCTCTAAGCTCTTAGCCAAATTTACGAAGACAAAGCATGTTAAATAAACAAAAACAAAAAGAAATATTCCATTAGACTTCTTGAAAGTACTTCGAAATTTAACACGAACAAATACAAACAGAATCCTTGATCTCACAACGCACGCTTGCAGAAATTTCCTAAAAACAACCACCAAATTTCGCAAAGAAATAACAACTCTTTAGATCTTTCAAACTTCCCTCAAGAGAAACCAATATTCAAAACCACGTGCTCCCTAATAAAATTCATACCCGTACACTATGCCTGACCCGACCAAAAAACCCTTATATATATGCCCCATGCAAACTCACCAAACAACTCAAAACACTCTTCATCAAACCCATTTTATTACACACTCTCTAGCTCCTCCAATGGCTTCTAACTACAATAAACTCACTTCTTCCAGAGTAGCTATCATCGGTGCTGGTGTTAGCGGTTTAGCAGCTGCTAAGCACTTAGCTCATCACAACCCGACCGTTTTTGAAGCCTCGGATTCGGTCGGAGGTGTTTGGAAGAGCTGCTCTTACGAGACAACTAAGTTACAATCGGCTCGAGTTGATTACGAGTTCTCTGACTTTCCATGGCCCAATAGAGATGACACTACTTTCCCATCTTACGTTGAGATAATAGATTACTTGGAATCTTATGCTAAGCATTTTGATCTCCTGAAGTTCATGAAGTTTGGCTCTAAGGTTATTGAAGTTAGGTACACCGGTGAAGGCGAAACTCCACACATGGCCGACCTTGGTGCTTACGGCAACTTGTTGCCTGGAAAACCTGTCTGGGAAGTTGCTGTTCAGAACGTAGAAGCTGGAGATATTCAGGTTTGTATTAATTTTTTTTTCAAGCCGCCATCTCATATATTTGCTTATGATTCTTGCATGCAGATCCCTTTGCATCCTCAAATAGTTTTCATTTTAGATTAATTTTGTATGTTTTTTTTCTTTAAACCTTTGTTTCTCAAATAAAATCTATACTGATCTCTATAATTTTATGTAACAAAAATACCAATTTTTCTAGAATTTATAACAGCCATGTAACTTTTGTAGATAGCGAAAAAGAATTTTTGAATATGGTATAAAATGGAGTTTTAATCTAAATCTTATAAAGAACTTCCAAATAGTTGTTGTAAACTATTGCATGCATAATTTACGTCTTATTCTTGTGCTTTTTAAGTTGTTTACGTTCATTTGTGAATTATTGCATGATACATGTGTGTGCAGTGGCATGCATTTGAGTTCGTGGTAGTGTGCACTGGAAAATTCGGAGACGTACCAAGAATTCCGACGTTTCCGGCGAATAAAGGGCCGGAGATATTCAACGGGAAAGTGATGCATTCGATGGATTACTGCAAATTAGACAAAGAAGAAGCTTCTCATCTCCTCCGTGGCAAGAAAGTGGCCGTCATTGGCTTCAAGAAATCCGCCATTGATTTGGCTTTAGAGTCTGCTTTAGCTAACCAAGGTACATATAATATACTTTTTCTTTCACAAAACGGTTTGATTAATTAACAATTAATTAGCTTCACTCCAACAATTTGGCTCAAGTCAAACTATAATATATCTTTCTTTTTGGTTGGAGTTGGACCGTTTTTTTTTCTGATTGTCACAATCAAATAGTTTTTCAGAAGTTTGGTGATATATAAACCGATATAGTTTGTACAGTCCAATATAACCCATTTTGATCATATAATATATCTTTCTTTTTGGCTGGAGTTGGACCGTTTTTTTTCTGATTGTCACATCAAATAGTTTCTCAGAAGTTTGGTGATATATAAACCAATATAGTTATATAACCCATTTTTATCTTTAATTATATGACCAATATGATTCCAATAACTAAATCAAAAATATATAAATAATATTGCAGGAGAAGGTGGACAAGCATGCACAATGGTGGTGAGAACAACACACTGGGTGTTTCCACATTACTGGATATGGGGTCTACCATTCTTCTTGTTCTACTCTACAAGAGCTTCTCAGTTCCTCCATGATAGGCCTAACCAAAGTTTCCTCAGAAGTCTCTTTTGCCTCATATTCTCTCTTCTGGTTTGTGATCTTAAAACCTTTGGTTTCTACAAATTGAGCAATTTTATATTTGGATTTTCTAAGTTCTTATAAACATATGACATTAATACAGCGTGCAGTAGTTTCCAAATTCATCGAATCATATGTTACGTGGAAGCTTCCTCTAGAGAAATATGGTCTTAAACCAGACCATTCATTTGAAGAAGACTATGCATCTTGTCAAATGGCGATCATACCAGATAATTTCTTTGAGGAAGCCGATAAGGGTATGATCCGGTTTAAGAAAACATCAAAATGGTGCTTTTATGATCAAGGGATTGAATTTGAGGATGGGACTACCCTAGAAGCTGATGTTGTGATACTTGCGACTGGTTATGATGGCAAGAAGAAGCTCAAAGCCATTGTTCCTGAACCCTTTCGATCTTGGCTTGAGTTTCCATACGGTGTTATGCCCCTATACAGGTACATGCACTTATAAAGTAAAGTCCATATAGTAAACTAAACGCTAGGTCAAGCTTATAATACACATATGAAATTGTATTATTGCTTATAATAACAAAAAACTGATTAAATTTTCAGGGGAACAATCCATCCATTGATACCAAACATGGGTTTCGTGGGATACGTCCAAAGCAACGCGAACCTACACACATCAGAGCTACGTTCGTTGTGGTTAAGCCGTCTCGTGGATGGGAAATTCAAGTTACCGAGCAAAGAGAAAATGCTGGATCAGTTCTCCAAGGAAATGGAAGTGATGAGGAGATCAAGCAGATTCTATAAACGTCATTGCATTTCTACCTTCAGCATCCAACATGCGGATGATTTGTGTAACGACATGGGACTCAATCCTCGGCGTAAATCCAACTTCTTCCTTGAAGCTTTTAGTCCTTATGGTTCTCAAGATTATCGACTCAAACAAGAAGAAAGAAACTAAGTGAATGTAATACTACTAAAAGGAAAATAACGAGCTTACATCTGATGGATGATTATATCGTGTAAAATACTAAATTTACAAGACTATGTTTGTCACTGAATAATCATGTATGTTCGACTACATGAGCTTTTATAGTTTTAAAATCTTTTGTAAACTCTTGTATAATTGTTAGAGTATCTAAATAAATATAATAATTATACTTATATTATAGTTTAATTATTTGTTTACTCAAGATTTAAATAATCAAATTTAAATTAATTATAAACTAGAAAAAATTAAAACAAAATATCACACATATTTTTGTTAGTTTTTTTCAAATAAAAACGATCTTTTAATATTGTTTTTTTTTCATTTTATGTGAAAATTATCGATGAGATAGAAACTCATGTTTGTTTTGATGACATTATTCTTTTTACAATCACTTTAGGTTACCATTCATGCTTTAGAAAAAAAAACTAAATCTACAGTTTTTCTTTTTTTGTAAATACATATTTTGGCTATAGTTAGCTAGTGCTTTAAATCTTTTAAAATAAATCTAGAACAGTCAAAACTACAGCTAAAATCAAAATATCTAAACAAAGTCTAAGTTTTAAAGAAAAGAAGCTAAAAAAATTCTTTTTACAATTGAAAGAACAAAAAAAAATTAAATTGAAACATTACATTCGTATATACCAATTAATGGTTAAACTGATCGGTTATCTTTTTAATTGCGATCGGTCTATGTCTCCGAGTTATGAGTACAAAATTACACTTCTACCCTTTTTAATTTTGGTCAACGCGCGGCAAGTCATTTAGGCAGAGAGTTTTTCGTCACCGGCATAGTGAAACCCTAAACCCTAAAATCAGTTGACGAATGATGGAGGGAGTAGAGAAGTTTTTCAGCAAGATGGTGATAGATGCGAAATCAGCAGCTTCTTCTTCCTCCTCTTCTCTTTCTGATTTCGCAGAAAATCTAATCCAAGAGAAACGAATCGGCGGCAGCGGCGGCGGAAACTCGACTACATACGAAAGTTCCGGAATTTTGGTCAATAGACCTCCCAGGTAATCTGCAAATCATAGAAACATTTTGAATTTTGTAATGGTTTGTTCAGATGATCTAAGGAACAGAAGCGAGTAGATCGGTTTATAGGACAAACAAGTTGGAGATTAGCTTTTGTCTTTTAATTCATTTGATTAATATGCAATTAGTTTTTACTTAATATCTTTAGTGTAGTGTGTAGCTCTATTCGTATGTGACTATTTTTTTTTTTTATGGTGGCAGTGGAGTATCGGCATGGACGTGTTCAAAGCTGTGTGCTGTTTTCTTTGTCGCTGGAGTGTTTGTGGGTTACACGCTTAAGAGACGTGTCCGAAGCTGGGCTTCTAAATTGCTCAGAAAAATCAGAGATGATTAAACTCAAAATAGAGCCACATCTTGGTACAAAGGGCATTACCCTCTTCTCCTTGTTGAATGTGTTTTTAGTAACGGTTTAAAGTGTGCTCAAGGCACTTTGTTGTTTAATATTCTCGTCCTCTAGTCACAATTTGTGGTAATAGAAGGCACTCGCTTACATATTTTTTGTGTGAAGTAACAAAATAAAAGTTTAACGTGAGTTAACTATTGCTGCAGCACATTAAACTTTCACAGAGCCCTCTGAAACTGTTCTTTCAGTGAAACAACCTAAAACACAGTAGCTATAAACTTTCGCTGTGTTTGGGTAGATCACATTGGATTATACTACTTCAAGAAACCATACAGAGAAATGTGTGGTTAGAGAAGAACAAACACATAACTAAACAGAAAAAAAAAAGACAATATAAAAATCGAATTATAAAGACCATAAAAAGGTAGAGAATACCACATCTATTGTGTAAAATTATAAACATGAATGTCGACTACATGGAGCTTTTGTAGTTTAAAACAAATGTTTTTTATACTTGTGAGTGTATGAAAATAGTCACATTAATCATTTTGTTGATGAAAACGTTCTTGTTTAATATGTTCATCCTTTGTGACTACTAATAACTTGTGGTAATAGAAACAGAGATTGGGTTCGCTCTTGAAACACACACATATACATAAAGAAACTTATATTTGTTGTTATTGTGATCATCCCTTTTAGGCCGGTCTATACAAACATGCAGGACAATGTTTCCATGCTGACATAGTGAATGTAATCTATTTCGCTAAGTGACTTTAGAAGTTAGCATGAGAAGAACAAAATAATGGCTGGCGCGATTTTGAATCTCTCACTCAAAGCAAAGTGATGATAGAAGCTGACTTGTGAAACTGAATCAGAAATGCTCTTTATGGAACTCGAACCGTGTGCTTGTTTTTTGACTCATTTCTTGTGATTGCTTCTTCAACTCCTTTGCCACGGTTGGTATGCCGCAGTAAAACACTCCTGCACCAATACAGTAAATATTTTTCACATGTAATGGTTTAAGTCCATTAGCAGCTGATTGTATTGTATATAATAATATACTTACCGACTGTTGAATTTGGATGTTTTCTTGCTATGCTACTGAAGACTTCCTTCCAGTTTGGTCTTGCAAAATGTGTTCTCACCTGTTCCAATGAATGATGTTACATCTTGTTAATGGTTTGGTAACATTGAGGCATAATGTTTGTCCCAATGATATGTTAGAATTCTTCTTACCCGTGTTCCGGATAGAATATCAACTCCATGTTTGGCATGGTTCAAAGCCTGGACCATCTTTATCAGGGTTGATCTTGCATCTCCTTCATCATATACACTTGTAAGGTAGTTGTGCAACTCAATCTGCTCCTGTTTCATGTGAAAAAAAGGAACTAATATGTTAGTATATCCCACAATTACTACAGGTTAAGTAAGTGGTGATGAATATATGATTATTACTCTGCAGTCCATGTCTGATATTTCCTCCATTACTCCTCTAAACCATTCGACGGATCCTGGCTCCCTTGTGACCCAGTAGAAGTGAGCCTTCACTGCTTTCTTTTTCCCTCCTTGTGTTGAAGTTGGGGTTATTGTGGTATATGAAGATGAATGGCTATTCCAGCTGTAATCTGATCTGCTGAACTCATTTTCCTGCGCCATAACAAAGTTTAGAGATATTATGTATTTGGAGCAAAAGGGTCTTGAAAAGACACTGAATCTGTGGCTTACTGTTAGTTCATCTCTTGAATTGTTCAGAAGATCCTTGAGGATGCTTATGAAAGGAGTAGCTCCTATCCCCAATCCAATGAGGAGCAAGACATCATAGTTTCTGTAGTCCTGTGCTGGTGCTCCATATGGACCATCTACTAATAGTTTAGGTCGTCTGTCCAATGCATGATCAATCAATTAATACTTAGTAGTATCTAAATATATAGTAGGAAGCAAATGAGGTGTATTGGTATTTTACTGTGATGAATCAGTATTGCCATAGGCAGAGAATTTCGATGTGCCAATAACGCATGTTGAAAGATCTTTGCCCACAGTTAAAACTCTTTGTAGCTCCTCTGTCCAGTCTCCGAGTGTTCGGATATGAACACTAAGTTGGTCATCTCCTGGTGCAGAGGTAATAGAAAAGGGATGCCTGGAAAAAAAATAAGGCATATAACATCTTTCCATGTGAAACTCTCTGAGATGTTTGCTAAACATTATAGATAGGAATGTGGCATCAGTTACTCACCATTCAAATCTAGAGATTGTTGGACACTGCAAGAATATGTATTGACCACTCTTGTACTTAAATCCAGGAGGCTTTGACATGATTAAGCTGAGTACTTCACCAGGTAGCATAGAAACCTGCAGAGACCAAGGTTTGTAAGACGTTATGTGTTTTCAAAAGAGGAAGGAGAACTTTCTCAGTGAACAGTGGTTTGCCTTGAGGATTTTGACAGAGTAATGCTGGGACCTACAAGCTCGCAGACTTCGTTCTGCCACATACACCACCATAGGAACAGAGATGTACATCCAAGTCTGTGAGGTTTTAACAGTTATATGAAGTTAATGACATTTTGACCACTTAAGTTTAAGAGCAAAGTGAGATGCTTACAGTTTTCTGATACCACTTATCAGCGAAGAAGAGGAAAGTCCCATGAACAATGAGCATAATGTAGACAACCACTAGAAGGTGATGAGTGTACCAGAAGGCGTTAAAGCCAGTTAACCGATCAAGTGGTGCTGGTAGACTCACACGGTTTCTCCTGAAATGAGTTGATGCTAATGTGAAGGCGATGGTTGTCAAGATCACCATAGAGATCCCAGTGATTCCTTCTGCACCTGTCATCAGGTCTTTGAATGTTGGCCTAACACCATGGAAGTAAGAAGCGATCAAGGCAAAATTTTCTGGACTTGAGTTTATAATCCGTGGAAAATCACACGCCAAATGAGTACCAGCATGAACAAGTATCCCAATAACTATAGCACAAGCAATAATCTGCAACACAGAGAGAGATGTAAAGAGTCTTGGAACATAGAAAGAGCCAAGGAAGGTTGTGTTGTGCTTTTACAGTTGTTCTAAAAAATTGGTCTAGGCGGAACCGAAATGATTTTCTTAAAATCCGATTTATACTACTCAAATCGGTTTAAACCATTAGTTTAAACCATTTTAAATGAGGTAAAATCGGTTTAAATCAATCCGAGCTAGTTCAAATATGTTAAATTAATTAATGTTGTTAGTATATATCTAGAAATTTATCTAATTTCTTGTTTTGTATATTTAATATTGACAACTCATCAGACTAATTTTATAATGAAATCTCAAAACTAAAATATCTTATATAAATGTAATATATATCAATAATTTTGTAACGTCTAGAACCCTATACTCTGAATAATCCTATTAGTAGCTAGTCCTCTATAAAACAACTAGGTACCTTGTGAAAGTTGATGTTATCATCAAAAGGAACAAAAGCTCGAGCACGTGTAGATCTCAGCCAAGTCAAGGTGTTTCTACAGACAGGTAACAGGACCAGAGCCATGTTGAGCTTGAGAGTCTCTGCAGCTCCTTTAGCAGTGGTTAAACAATAGCCCATGACCTTAAAAGCATCTTTGTCTCTGTACTGAAGAAACTTCCACACGAAGAGAATGGCCATAACAATGATCCATAATAACAGAACCCATATTCGTTGCCAGTTATCTAGAACCAAACACTGAAGTGTTTGTCCACATTTTTTAACCACATGCCGAGGTTTAACGATATTCCGTCTTGGTGTAGTCATTCCACTTGTCGTGCTAAGTGGTCTACTGTAGTTCATGTATGCGTCTCTTTGAAGTAAGAGTGTCTCGAGTTGCCATAACTGAAACACGACAAAGAAACTTTTATAGTATGACTTCATTATCTCTGCTGATTATTATTATTATTTATTTATTTTTACCTCAATGTATCCAAGATTCTCTGGATCAAGTTCTTCCATGATCAGAGATGCGTACTCTTCTGCTTGTTCCTTGAGTTTTGCTAACTTGTTTGCTGATGCACTTAGCATTAGAAGCTGTGTGTTTCAAAGAATAAACGTTATTTAGGATCTTTTGATTGTTAAAAGTAACTAATGTGTTAAAAAAGCAGTTACTTCTTTGATTTCTTCACTAGTGATTTTCCCGTCTTCATTGCAGTCAACCCTGGTGACAAAACACTGAGAACTTAAAAACTATAGCAGAACCATTAATCAAAAATAATAATAATTAGAAGTATATATGACAAGCAAAGTTTGATTTGTTTTGTTAATAATGACAGAATAATGGGAAATTAGTTGAGCTAAATGTTTGGTAAAATGATGAGGAAAAAAAAAACGCAAAATCCTTTTGTGGTTTGGTGGATTTAAGAGTCATGGCCTATTGTTTATCTCACTTGCAAGAAAACTAATTGCGGGAAAAAAGCTGAAAAGAGGATATACTTCTTTTTGAAAATCTGTAAGTTTGTTTTACTGGGCCAAGTAAACCATAGTCCATTTGTCAAACTCGCTTATTGCTTTTCACCGTTGATTGCGTGAGCTAACAGATCCAACGGCTAAAAACACCACGTGTTTTAAATGATTCATCTAACATTTCGATTGCATTTGTCTAAGACCATGATTAATCGGGATTCTTATAGTGGGGTTCTTATCGAAAGTAAAAGACTGTTTCTTAAGTTTTAACTTAAAAAAGCTAAGAATCGATTTTTTTTTAAAAAAATAAAAACCGTTTTTTCTTTTTTAAATTAAAAAATAAAAATAGTTTTTAACTTCCATTTAAGAACTTATCCTTAAAACTCTTAGTTAATCATGATCTAACATATCTTTAATCTATGCTTTACTAATTCCCTAAAATGTCAAAAATTACTGTGAAGTTGCGGTAGGCTTCCACTGAAGAGATAACAATCTCCAATCAAAGAGTGATTGGTGAGCTAACTAATTTCTTTAAATAACAAAATTTACTCAATTGGATACTATAAACACACACACAAATCTAAGTTTCTAAGTTGATAATAAGAGAGTTCATCCGCATAATTCAAGATACAGAAAAATATACTACTAATTACAGATAAACTACCATTAAAGTCAGCCGCTAATTAAGTGAACTTAGATCAAAACCCATTTGTATTCTTCTGCTTCTCTTTTTTTCTCAAGTTGCAATGCGTTATTCCCGTAACAGTTATAAACGTAAAAGACAAAACAAGAAAGAAAGAAACGTACATATCGAAGAAGATTTGAAGACGCGCGTCGAAGCTTTGATCAGAAATCTGTAACCAGAACTCATGAAGCTCATCTCTCGTTATCTTCTCCAGCTTCTGTCTTCTTCTCCTAGCTAAAGCGTCGAACACACTCACCGCGAACTCCTTCGAATCCTTCATCCCTTTATTTTTTTATCAAATCATCAAAAAAATAAAACATGTTTTTGTTCCGACATCTAAACAGGTTTTGTTTATATGTAATAGATTTTTTTATTTATTATTTTCTTACCAACACACTCTCCGAAATCTTCTCGCGCAAGCAACCCATCTTTACAAAGCGATTCGAACCGCTTCTCAACTCTCTTCCACATCGGATCGCAATCACAGTCGCGATCGCAACCGCAGCTGTTTCCTATCGTGGTTTTGTTGATAAACTGTAACCCCTTAAGCGCTCTCTGCGCGCTAGACGTTGAACGCTGCAACTTCGCGTTTTCCCTCCGCTTATCCCTCGCGGACATAATCGGCGTCTCTGTCCCCAACGTCGCCACATCTCTAGAAGCCGTAGAATCCGACCTAAGTAACCTCCCAATCGTCTTCCGAATCTTCGAAGACGCCGTGGATAAACTCCTCGTCAACAACCTCCCCGTCGTCTCCGTCACCGTCGCCGTCTGACGTTCTAAATCTCTCTCCCCTAAAGAAGTCATCGTCCTCGCTGAGTCCGACCTTATTAACCTCCCGAACTTCTTCTTGCCCCTCGACGGCGTCGTTGAAAGACTCCTCGTTAACCTTCCGGATCTTGAATCAGCTGACGTGGCCTCCGACATTTCACAGACGACGATGGAGTCGTCGCCGTTTAGCTCAAGAGTCACCTCCACGAGCTCTCTTTCCCAGCTGCTTCCGCTTCCGGAGTCTCCATCACGACGCAAACCGTTGAGAAAAACCGGCAGCATTGCGCCGCCGGTGGATGGTGACGGTCTTAACTCCACACCGTCGTCGTCGGCGTAACCATCTCCGCCGTGGCTGAAACTTGATTGTGTTGAGAAACTCAGAGGCGATAACTTCATTACATCAACCCACCTATATGCTATTATAAGATTTATATTAAATTAAATATATTTCTTATTGGATTTTCACCGGTGGCCATGGAAGAAGAGACAAGAAGGTGAGAAAACAAAACAAAAATAATGTAGAAGAAGAAGAATGTGTAAAGAACAATAAAGAGAGAGAAACAGAAAACAAGAGAGGCACTTCTCAACCGATCGATACAAACACTTGCACACAATTTTCAACGCTTAGTTTTTTTTTTTTTGTGTGTAATGGCCAAGTCGTGTTTCACAGTTGTTGTTGCCTTTCTTCTTCTTGATTATTACTAGTATTTTTAACTTTTAATTTGTTTGTATGTATCTTTTTTTCCTATCTACTTAAACTAATCACCTCTACTAATTATCAATATTATTGTTGCGAAAAGATATAAAGAATTAGTTGTTGTTGTTTACCATAAAGGAAAAAATGGGGTTATGGTATAACGTATGTGATTAATTCACAATATCCTAACTTCATGAGTTTTGCCGCCAAATTTAGTGGCAATTAACATTAACTAAAACCACTAATCAATCAGTAAGCATAATTGCAATGATCATAATCGGTACTTACTGACATCTGTGGGCAGTGTACCTTAATGAATATGCAAAGGGAGAATTGTTGTCTGATCCGCTACCAGAAACTCAGGGTGTTACGACACGTCGAAACTTGAAGACAGCTTTATGTTGGCCTTACTTTTAATTAATATGGAAATATTAAGGGAGAAGGCAGAGAGTGGGAGACAAGAACACGTAATTAATTTATACGCTATATATAATTTTTAGGTAGTTCAAAATATGAACTGGCAAAGAAGAAGAAGGTGGTCAAAGAGATGTAATGTAATGAAAGGAGACCAGACATATATATAGAGAGAGAGGGGCTTGAAGGAACAGAAACTTCTGGTTCGTGTTTAAGTGATTATTTAACCTAAATGCTACGCTTTGTCGCAAAGCAGTACATAGCCAATGTTGTACGTCCTAAGTTTTGAGTACCTCCTCTTCTAGAATCTCTATCTCTCTTTTGTTACCTATTTTCAGGTTGTCTACGGGCTATATGGGCCACTGTAGTGTCTACCGCATCTATTTCAGCCCAAGGTTTCGATCACTGGTCATGATGCTCTTCTATAATTTAGCATTTTAGTCGGTTTTAGAATTTCTGGTATAGTCAAATGCTATTTGTTGCATGATTTTTGAATAGTCAATGATAAGATGAGTTTATGTGGAGTTAAGAGTCTTAGAAATGTACTCAGGCTAGGTGTAATTTGGTTAAATACTAGTATTCTTCACCACTACTAGATTGTAAAATTATTTCAATTAGTTTATAATGATTTCGCAATTTATTTTGTTTAAAGATTAAAGAACCAAATCTCGGACTAATCCGTACGTAGACTATGAAAGCATGTGAAATAAGGACCGCTACGAACTCTTTTAAATTTTCTCTTCATCTCTTAGGAGTTAAAAAAAATATTCAAATATTAAGAAAAACAAAACGCTCTAATGTGGTGATGAATATAACATATGGTAATAGTCACACATTGCACACAAATATACATCAATTAAGAGGAGTTATGTGGTAGAACGAATATAGAAATATTGATAGGGTAGCACTCGTAGTAGCCAGCAACGTGCATTCCACTCATGTTGAAATCCATGTTAGACTAGGCCACGGCTCTTTCTATGTGTATTTTTCCTCCATTAATAATTATAAATCGCAATGGCTGACAAGATCAATTACTGTAAACAATTTGTATTTGTATAACAAGGAATATGATAGATGTGCTTTGTTTTCATTATAACTTGGTAAACTATTTCAAGTACTTTTCTGGTAGTTGTAATCTCTATATCATACATATCTTACTAATTTATGAATGAATCTGAAAAAGAAAGATCTATACATTTTGAGTAAAAAGAAGAATCTGAAACAAAACTAATATAAGAAGCAGAATCAAAGCTTAGACAAACATATTTAAATATATACCATGATAATACTTCAATCCGAATATATATCAGGAATAGACATACGCTTAAGGTTTAACAGATATAAAATAAACTCACATTTAGTTTCGAAATTAGCTCTGACTTCTGAAGCTCAGGTTATAAAATAAGGAAACTAATTAGGAGCCTATAGTTTAGTTGATGTTCTGTGTTTCTGCAAATGCTTCTTCTACGTACTAGCCAGGAAAAAAATCCAGTTAAATGCGCATTAGTTTACTTTGTATGTATGATGTAGCTGTAACTTACTATTGTTGATTCGCGTTACATATTATGGTGTATGACTGATAATATTTGTTCTATCATATCTCAAACATCATCAAGTTGTGGGCCTCGTTAAATTGTAAAATGGGCCTAAAATAAATTGGAATTAAGAAATAGACGAGACTCATGTGCTATATCATTGATATATGTATTGGGCTAATTTAGCAATACCTCTTTTGGTGGTCGAAAAAAGTCACAACTAATTTAAAAAATTGTAAGTTCGATGTGTATTTTGGAGCGTTATTTATTTAAAGTATAAAGCGTGTTTTAAGGAATTTTGATTTTGGGTGATAAAAGTCAAATTTGGTTACAAAAGGTAACATAAAAAACTTGTAAAAGCTGTTCTTACCTAACTATACATGAGCCATGAATAAAAAGAGTTGTGACATTTGATTGAACATGAGTGGGGAGGGAATAAAAGGAGGGCAATTCATTTTTGCTTCCGGCACGTTACCAGATAGGTTCCACAGTTCTATTCGGTGTCGGATGCTGAAACGTGTCTTCGTCTATATGTATCTTACCGTCCGATGAACCTATCAATATGACGGCATCTATATAGTATATTTGAAGAATAAAACCTAACCGGTGAAACAAATTACTACTAATTCTTCAAATTGTTTATTTTATGATAACAAAATGTATTAAGGGCATTTCCGATGATACTCTACAATTTTCACTCTAAAATTGTGCAACTCTATTATAGAGTTAAATTTGCTCCAATGGTTTACTCTATAATAGAGTTACACTATAATAAAGTAAAATATAGAGGGATGTTGCTTTTTTACTCCAAATATAGAGTAAAAAAACATTTTTCTATATCCCACTTTATTATAGTGTTAATTCTAATATAGAATAAACTATTGGAGAAAATCTAATTCTATTATAAAACTACACTATTTAAGAGTGAAATATAGAGAGGATTATAGAAAACCATTGGAGATGCTCTAAGAAAAAATAGTTCGGTAAGTGCGTATTTACGTATTAACAATATAGTTTTTGAGTAAATTAGTAAAAATTAAACTCTAGTAAGAACTAATAGTATTGATATTATGATGTTCAAAATAAATATAGCTATGCAATATATAATTTAATTTAGGAAATATTTTATTAATTTTAGAAAAGATATAGAATGCATAAAGTTAGGAGTAATTGTTATTTTATTAATTTTGGAAAAGATAAAATATCCATAATATAGCTTCATTTAATATATCAGTGACATGGTAGTGTAAATATAGTGAAAATTAAAGGGTAATCTAAATTTGTACTTCCTTTTTAATAGATTAAGATAATTTCAGAAACTATATATATATATATATATATATGTGTGTGTGTTAAATGGGGAAAATAATAAAAATCCGAGGAAAATAGGAAAAACAAGATACCTGGTGATTGGGACCTTAGTGGTCCGTATTCATCAACATATGATCTAATCCATTTCCGAACGTAGTTCTCATCCGACTTCAACCTATGTCGATGCCATTTATATATACCAGATCGAACTTGTCCAGTTATCCAAATACAAAAGAAAAACGACTAATTAAAATTCTTAATTCTTGAAATATCTAGAGTATGTGTGGTGTGGTGTGGTGCCTATATAGATGATTCAGTCCCACCAAGTGACCAAGAAGTTTGAATTTTGGTTGTTGTCTCCTATTATAAACCACATATGAAAACTGTAATGCAGAAACAATAACGCATTTGACTGATATCACATACTAAATGGAGGTGAAAAGCAACAAGTTCAACGAATATGATAATAATACCCCCTCTATTTCAATATATAAGTAGTGTTTGAGTTTTTTTTTTGTTTCACAATGCAAAAAAATAAAATGATAAAACAATAACTAAACAAAAAAGCATAAAGCAAAATTATAAATATGATTTATCATTGGTTCTTTTCTATTTTTGATTAAATGCTAAATCGTTTACAGTTAAGTCGAACGTGTAGTGCGATTGCAACCATGATTAAATATTGACTGTTAGCAGTTTTTTTTTTCACATACAGTCTAATTCAAAATATTGTCGTAGATCACAATTTTGTATGTGTTTATACTTTTAGAAATTTCGGGATCGAAGCATAGAGCAGACAATAATACATGAACATTAAATGTAACATCTAATTTATCGTGAACATAGATAGATGAAGCTTTAAGCAAATGTTGAGGGGACCGCGAAACGACGACACTTTGGTCGGTGAATCACTCTATCTATCAACAAAAGAATTTAAGATCGAGGAACTGTAATATCCTTGTCTCACCCCTGAATCTCATACAGTTCTTTTTTTTTTCCGACAATTCCATACAGTTCTAGGCTTGATTGAAATCAGTGTTTTATGACTGCTGATTAAATATACAACACATAATGTTCCCTTGAGAAAAATGTAAGTTATAGATGCATGTAAAGAAAATATTTGAAAACGTCATACGTAAATAATATCCTCATATTCTGTACATCTTCGCACTGAAATTAATACTAAAATCTTAATCTTGTATATATATAATTATATAAATGAATAAAACAAACATTAAAATATAAAATGATGATGATGTTTTTTCTGGATAGACTATCCATTTAACTAAATCAAATTGTAGTGAGACGAACCGATCTTTCGGAAATCATTTATGTTTGATTTATGTTTGTTTGTGTCTGATCTACTCTATCCGTTTCATATCAAGTGTTGTTGTAAAAAAAAAAATTTTTATTACAAAATAAATATTATTTTTGGTTTTCAATATAAAATTTATTAATTTTATTATGTAACTATATTGGTTATACTGTGGTTAAATATATGTGTATTTGTGTTTTTATATAGGAAATATGTAAAATTAATTATTTCCTTAATTCGTGTGCACAACTCTAAAATGACACATATA